AATGTTGTGTTTTCTATTTTCTAGAATACTGGACAATGGAAAATGTCCCAAGCCCAGTAATTCTATGCGTTATACACCATCGTCAGAATCTGCTCTTCCTATTCAATGGCATTCGTTCATTATTAACAAAAATACACTAAGATACAGAAATTCAAAACTTGCATTATGCAGGCATATTATCACCACACAGCAGGCTCTCAATTATCACTCTGTGGACTACCCATGAGACTTTTTGAACTCTTCAATTATTGATTATACCTTTCCTTAATAATTAGAAGTGCTGTCCATAACATCTGATTCAGTAAGGCTTTACAATGGGCCGCACCATAGCTCAAGCGGTTAGTTCCTGACTTCCCACCACGGCAGCCCGGGTTTGATCCAGGGTCTGGTCAAGTGGGATTTGTGGTGGACAAAGTGGCGCTGAGGCAGGTTTTCTCCAATTACTTCATTTTCCCCTGCCAATTTTCATTCCACCAACTGCTCCACAATCACCCTCACCTATCATCTGGGGCTGGTACAACAGGCCAGAAGTGGCCGCAGTACAAGGGACTTAGTCCCACCCCACTAGCAATAAAAAAAAAGGCCTTACAATGATTTGCAGTAGACTGTAAGTGTTCTCACGCTCCTGCAAACTTCATACTTTATTATTTTATTGTTTTCTGTGCCAGCCCACTGCCAGTTAAGAAGTTACTTGTCTCACTCTCCTATAACCAGCAATACAACAAGTAAGTAACAGTTCAGTGATTTGCAAGGTTGAAAATGGAGCACACACGGATTCTTGTATTATCACGTGTGCTGCTTCTCTCCCCAGCACTGTGGCTAATTGAGAGTTTGCTGCTGTGGCAAACTACAGACAGAGCTGGGTGAATAAAAAAAATATAAGCGTGTGAGACTTGAAGCAACCAATGGTGTACTAGGAATGAAAATACGGTTTCTACTGGCAAGTCTATGTAATTCGTATGATTTGATGAGTCACCGTGCTGTTACAACTCATACACAGAAATAAAGTAACTTAGAGCTACAGTAAAGTGCTGTTTTATACCGTTTCATTCCAAAGTTAAATAATTAACCTATTATGGTGGCCATCTTCCTTCCACCCAGTTAGCAACAGTCTGATCATACAAGAGACTTAATACTATGCAAATAACTAATCACAAAATTATACAGTGTGTTCAGTTGAGGAAACTTTGCAACACCGCGGACCGGGCCCAACAATCCTCACATTTTGCTGCTGTAACTGCTGATAGCAGAATGAGTCATTAGCGCTGATAAACGCGCACTGTTACAGTTACAGTTACAGCAGCAATCTGTGAGGAATAGTCGGCCCGGTCAATGATGCTGTGAAGTTTCCTCCTTGATTGAACACCCTGTAGAACTTAAAAGGTTATGTACCAAAATTAAGAAATCTTATACTACAAAGTCATATTACAAGCACAAAGAAATGGTTAATTTTTTTGCTCGGTTAGTAAGGTTACAGTGAAGTCATGCTGCATGCAGATTACCAGTCAGCGAGCAGCTGTGCAATGAGACGCAGCTCACTTGTGTACCAGTATCTGTTCCCTGCTTCAAAGCACTGTTTCCATGCACAGAGTTGCTTAAAATTCAAGACAAGATGTTAGTGTGTGACAGAAGATAACGGATGCACAATTATATTTGGTATTATACTGTCCTATCAGCATTAAAACTATTAACTGACACTGTAACAAGTAATTTGTTCAGTAAGAGGTAAACTTGGGAATTTAATACTGGCAAAAACATTAACTACCCCATCGCAGTAAATTCCATGGGCAAAGAAAGCAAGAATTTTTAATAATTTCTGGTTACAAGCTTAAAAAAGAAACTATAACATAAAAAAAATATTGAAATGGCAAATAAGGTAAAAAAAGACTGACCCTGGCCTATGACTGATTCAGAACAAAGATCAATATTAAACAACTGAATAGCCATAACTGCTAAAAGCATTGAAACCTGGCTGTTCAGTCACTTGCTTATTCTTGTTTTGCTCGTTTAATTTTATTTGTTTTCGCTGTTCCCGTTCCACAAATTGGGCCATTATTTCAGAAAAATGGCTTCCTAAGAAAGTAGCAGTGATGCTAATCTACATGACCAAATGACTCATAGACTGGAATGAAGTTACCGTTCGGGGCTCATTCAGCACTATTTACATCACTTACACAAACATTATGTGGCATCGCTATCGGTAAATCAAAACCCACCCTTCTTGGTAAAAAGTAAAAGTAAAGGTATCCCTGTAACAGGGCGTGGAGGCCCATAGGGTTGTGAGATGTTGAGGTTCCCACATTTTCTAGACAACAGACTCATAGATGGCAGTGAGGTTGTCAGCCCTACGTGCCAGCTGCCCTTTATCTGCAACAAAATTCCAAGAATATTCCTGGTACTCATTTCTGTTAGAGGTTGAGTCAACCCCAGGGCGGTAGTGTGGCTGGAGAGATTAGTTAATTGAAAACAAAAATGCAATGACCTCATCAGGATTCGATCCTTTGACCTTCTGGCTTGTAGCATAGTGGCTCAACTGACTATGCTACTGCATGCCCCACCCACCCCTTCTTGGTACCATACAAAATTCATGGGTGTCAAGGAGATGGTCTCTTTTGCCACTACAACATTCTCAGTACTACCTGTAGATGACCTAATAGCCTGCCGCAAATCAGTCTGCTGGCCCAGCTACAGAGATAAGCTGCTTGTGTCAACTGTTCCCATGTGTTCAGGCAACAGGCCAACAAATGACACTCGAAACCTATCAAGACCACAGCACATGGAAGAAATGCTACCTGCTGATGTGCAAAGACTCCTGGTACCTCTGTAAGCACTGAAGCTCCTTGTTGGAAACAGAGCAAACCTGAAACCTGAAAGTCCTGCCTTCTGTGCAAGGCATCCAAGGGATATTTGCAGCGAATTTTCAAGCCTATATTGTCAACAGTCAATCTAGTCACCACTCCCTTTTCCTGCTCAAATGACATTAAAACCCTAAATAATAGTGCTTAGCTTAAGAGCTTTGTTCCTGTTCCTCCCACATCCCCTGTTCCACTTCCTATGCCACAGCACTAGCTACCCTGGCAACACCATCCCTTCTGAATACCTTATCCCTCAGCTACTCAAACTGCAGCACTGATCTCCCGTGTAAATTTATTTACGTTTGTATGAATAGACTTTTTTCTATTTAGAAGTACAACTGTGCAGTTTAAACTAAGATCTTCACGTTACTGTCACATGTGCAGCGAACACAAACATTCATTTCAATCCATAACTCTCAACAGAATTCTGAGTGCACGAAACTGAACACTTAACACAGGAGCAGGGGCTTGGGATGTAGTCCACACACACATGCTGCACATCTCCCCATTCATGGTAGCCGCCCAGTAGTTTACTGGGGGTCATCAAGAAAACAAACTGCAGTGTGTGTGGATTCTGTGCCCTGTCGACCACACTGTTAAGTCCAAACATGCTTACAAACAGTTCTTCCCTCAGATAGGCTGAATGATCTGCTGGAGGCCCTCAGATAATATCACTGTACTATCGTCACTACACGACGATTCACTGACACAACTGCACCCAGAGCTGAATCACCTTGCATCACTTTTACACAGAGACTGTCACGCTACTGCAATGGTGAACTGAGTGGTTCAGCTGATGGACAACTGCATTTTTCAATCCAAGTTAAATATGAACTGCCAGCCCTGCAGAAGTAGGGAATTTAAAATCCCCTAGCCCAAAAATGATGAACTTTTACCCCCAAATTAAAATGTGCATGCCTACCTTGCAGTAGGCTACTGGGAGACAGCCTATTACATGATTATAAAGGTTAACAGAATTGTGTTATGACCAGCACTTGTCATATTTGCCAAAGCAGAAAATGGAATCAATTTAATCTTAACATTTCTGTTCTTGAAGAATGCTGTCTTCTGGGATGTGGCACCCTGTAGATCTTGTGTGAACCGACGTTTCGGAGGAATGCCATTTTACATGGCACCACATCCCAGAAGACGGCATTCTTCAGTCACTGCCATGAAAACCTAAAATCCTACATCTCTGTTCTTGTCATTAATAATAATATTGGAACTTCCAGCCTGTAGTATCACAAACATGTAACTATATACCATAAAGGGTATCTATATCTGATAATAATTTGAAAAAATATTCTACAAATGCAACATGTTACATCTAATAATACAACACATATCTTCAATATGTTAAGAACAATGTCATGGCCAGAAAGCTGTTCTGGCTTTGTGATATTCCTACTTTATGCTTGTGATTTTAATTCATACAAGAAGATGTCATTTTGTGAAGCCAAAAAGCTTTGAAATAACTGGTAAAGACAAAAAAAAATGAAGTAACAATCGTAAAGTATTAAGATACAAGTATCTGCAGCCCTGTGACAGCTGTGATCCAAGAGCGGACATGTAACTCTAAATTCCTGTTACTCCACTGCTTTCAATTTTAATGGGGAAAAAAAAATACATAAATCGATTAACTGTAAAACAGTTAATTTCTGCCACTTACAAATCCTAATATTATGTAGACAAATAATTTCTGCGGGCAAATACAGAATTAAATTCATGAAAAATTTGCAGAAGTCAAGTAATACGTATATTTCAAACTAAACCTGCGATAAAGTTGGCTCCTTCCTGTTAATCACATTACACTTTCTTTTTTAATTCACCACACTAGTTTTAAATTGTGACATTTTTAAGGGACTAATAAAAAAGAAAACAAGCCCCCCACACAAAAACTGGCAGCTCCACTGACAAATCTGGGTAAATAATTAAAAGCATATCAAGTGTTAACCAGCTGATGGGACATATAATACCAACACAAGGCTTCCTCTCAACAGTACTTCAAAATTTAATCTAGTACAGTGGTTTCACATAAATCTATTTTTTAATATATTTTGGTTGAGCTGTGAGCTACGAACAAGGAAACGTTTTATAACATATAGCGAAAAGACGTTACAAAATAATTTGACAACTCATATAAACCTTGCTGTCCTGGGTAGAAGCCTGGCGGTGGAGGATTTTGCTGCCACGTGGTCATCTGGTTGACAGACTGCAAACAGTGACAAGAGACAAAACAAAAACAGATTTGAGACTATCGAGGGTGCAAACAGTGACATGACACCAAATAAAAATACTTAAAAACTGTAAGATTACACGACTATAAAGTAACTTCCAAATATCATCAGAAGAATATTGACCACCAACTCATATTCGGAATCTTAAATTGTATTTTCCTGCACAAGCCGTATGCAGCAAAATGAAAACTGTGGTATTATAACAAGGTTATGTATTCAAATGACCCAGCAGATATTACAAGATTGATTTGCTAAGGAATGGACTGATCTGGAGTGTACATTTTGTAGCGAACACGAAAGTCTTCCTTAACAATAATTGGTAATTTCCTGCATTAAATTCAATGAAACATCCTAAGTGTGGAAAACATGCTGTAACCTGTCAGGTGCCAGTTAATACGCCGTTGAGTCACCACGTCATAAGTCCGTCAGTCATAGGATCAATAATATTGTGCAACTATCTGAATTTAATATACTCACATGCGTTGACAGTTTAAAAACGAAGACAATCCACCAATTTTATATCTTTCAGATCTCTCTGCAAAATAATGCTAACTAACACTCCTACTACCGCGCCCGATATTTCGCCTGGAAATATCCAGAAATAACAATCGTCACAGTTGCTCACTGCATCAAGCTTTCCAAGCAACCCACTTGTCGTCACGATAACGACTGCGCTTCGAACACGCAAGTGCTATCAACACGCTGAATGTACCAGTTATATTACAATAAAATTTATAAATTTATAGATCAAAGACAACATACGGTAGAGGTTCGAAATACAAATGAAGTGTTTTACTTTTGAGTATTGAGATATAAACTCCTATATGCATATCAGCATCAATCATAAGATAGCAAAAGGTAACACATTAATGACTCATTTCGTTGGTCACATTGACGGATATAGATGCGTTGAATGAACATCCGGTTTTTCTCCAAACTTCTGAGGAGTGACGTCTTTTTAGATTATCAACTAAGGAAAATGGCGAAGAAAACTTACGATCTGTTGTTTAAGTTATTGCTGATTGGTGATTCAGGCGTAGGAAAGACATGTATACTCTTTAGGTTTTCAGATGATGCCTTTACAACGACGTTCATATCAACCATAGGTGAGTATATGACTGGTATTAATTTCAGGACTCCACACTATATTAATCCCTTTTACTATAGAAAAGGTGGGTGATCATATTCAAGAAATAATTAATTGGTGACACAGCAAATTTATCCTTGATCATATAATGGGGAAAAGAAAGTATAGGTGACCTTGAACCTTTAGCACAATTGGTGTTTTTGTATAGTACAGGCTTGCCGGCCATATATGTTTGTATGTTGTATTTGGTGGTCCAGGTATAGGATATTTCTACAGGGGTGGGGCTCAGTAATTTCCATTGACATAAATGCCCCGATTTACAAACACTGAGTCCGAAAAGTGAGCTTGATCCTTAGTCTTAGTATGTGCACTATACTGCCTGTACTGTAAGTGAATAACTATGAAGTGCTGTTGAATGTTTAATTATATGGCAACATTGTGAAGTTCATAAAGCACCTGTCTGTAGGAAAATAAACTTTTAATTGTAGTTCTCCGGTATTTGCTATAAATATAGAATTTGACTTTTGATATCAGTTTGTCAAGTTAATGCTTGTTGCCTTGTATATATACATATATATATATATATATATGTATGTTTTGTTTCTTCAGGAATTGATTTCAAAATAAAAACTGTAGAGCTTCGAGGGAAGAAAATCAAACTTCAAATATGGTAAGCCTTGCAAGTCTGTTGCACTGGAATGCAGTTTAATTATTTTATACTGAATGATTTTTTACAGCCTCTTTTTTTTTTCTAGGGATACAGCTGGCCAAGAAAGATTTCACACTATCACAACTTCATATTATCGAGGTGCAATGGGCATAATGCTGGTTTATGACATCACCAATGAGAAGAGTTTTGAAAATATAGTCAAATGGTTGCGAAATATTGATGAAGTGAGCATTCTTAATCCCTAATTGCAAGAACATTAATGTAAATAACTTGAGAATGAAAAGATCTTGGTTAATCATTTGGATTGTGTAGAGAGTCCCATAAAATGTGAACAGTATGAGGATGTGATTTACAAACACATGTGATAGCAACATCAGTCTTTTTTTTAATATTTTTTTTTGGTGGGTATATAAGTTCGTCCAACTGGATTCAGTGTGTTAATCATATACAGAGTGATTCACTCTGAGAAGACCCCAAATATGAGTAAATAACTATAAATCATGCGATAATTTACCAATCAAAATAAACTTTGGTGAGCACTATTATATTTAAGCATCCTGTTGCACTCTACACGATAAATGATACAAACTCCATCCCAAGTGCAAACAATATATTATATATCTTTGATCTTGCTCTCTTTTACACTGCATGTTTCGACCTCAAACGGCCATCATCAGGTGTATACTTTCATGTTGCTGTTACACTGCACTTAGTTTAAAATTTAACATTTTAAAAAAACATTGTTCCTTTCCTTGTTATTATCAACATCTACTTTGTTGATATCTGTCTGGTTTATAGATTATTTTGCACACGTTAATTTTGATTTTCCTGTAGTAGCACTATAAAATCTTTAGTTATAATTTTAAAATCCTTTAAAATTTTCTCTAAATTTTAAAATTTAGCACTATAAAATCTTTAGTTCTAATTTTAAAATCCTTTAAAATTTTCTCTAAATTTTAAAATTTAGCACTATAAAATCTTTAGTTCTAATTTTAAAATCCTTTAAAATTTNAATGAGAACAAGGAAAGGAACAATGTTTTTTTAAAATGTTAAATTTTAAACTAAGTGCAGTGTAACAGCAACATGAAAGTATACACCTGATGATGGCCGTTCGAGGCCGAAACATGCAGTGTAAAAGAGAGCAAGATCAAAGACATAATATATTGTTTGCACTTGGGACGGAGTTTGTATCATTTATCGTTTGGTGAGCACATATCTTGGAAATAATTCGGTTACAGAAGAAGTTGTGACTGGTTTCCCTCTGCTTAGAGAGACAGGTTAATATTATGCTCTGCATCTGCAGATGTTTATGCAGTCATGTACATTTTCCCCTGGAAACCGCAGACTGTAATGAGTTTTGTGAACTAGGTGGGCACTTAATCAGTGTCACAAACCACACAGTGCTGCAGAGTTTTGTCTTTGCTGGTAAATTATTGTGTGATCCATGATTATTACCTCAGGGTGCGCTCCAAGTGAGTTACCCGATACAGATCTCAGTTCTGATGTATTCCCTTGGTTCCATTTGCCTGCAGATATATGGGCAAGATTGAAACACCATTAATGGCCCAAAGGGTTCATTGACAAGATAAGAATTTGAAGACCTCTCTCTGTCTTGGGATGTGACAGCGTATAATCTGTTAGGAGGATACAAAATCATTAGCCACAGAGTGTTGTATTACCTTGTCTTATTACATTTAGTATTTATTAAAAGTGGCATAGAAATTTTAGATATTTGGGATGCTTGTCGAAGTATTTCGACATCAGTCATGAGGACAGTGCGTAAAGTTAGGGAATGTGGGATGGCGATGTTGCGTAAGGCTGGCATGCTGATGATGTTGGGTGACACTGAAGGATCAGATTTGGTATACAAGATCATCTGGTAAGCAAATCATTTCCCTGTCTCTTTTCAGCATGCAAATGAAGATGTTGAGAAGATGATTCTTGGTAACAAGAATGATATGGACGAGAAACGAGTTGTGAGCAGAGACAGAGGAGAAGCGGTAAGTTTTCTAACACACACACACACATATATAAGTTTCAAGCATGACATTTATGTCATGGTTACTGACATGAGTCCAAAGTGTTAACATGCTCCATTTATGTCATGGTTACTGACATGAGTCCAAAGTGTTAACATGCTCCATGAATGTACATTATGTACTGGATCATGGATGAGCTTGGAGTGTTTTGTTTCAGAGTATTGTGTGTATTCAGTAAGTGGATAATATTTTGATGTGATATTGTATACTATATAAAGCAGATGGTCAGCAGTTCAATATTTGTATGTTATATTCATGGGAGATAGTGTTAAATGTCAGCTTCATTATGTTCTTTATTTGATGTGGCACTGGAAAGGAATATGGAGAAAACGAGGGAAAATTCCACATCATCCAGACCGGCTCCGGGATCCACCCAACCTCCTATCCAATTTGTACCGGCGGCTGTTTCCCTGGGGGTAAAGCGGCCAGGGCAAGAAGCTGACCGCTTGCCTCAAACTAGTGCCAAGGGCAAGAAAATATGGCATAGTGCATAATATAACAAATGATGAGATTTCCTGTTGAAATATCGAGTATTGTGTAAACATTAAAAAACAGATCAGCGTATCTTTGATCATTCCATTCCTGAAGATTATTCTCTTTTGGGATGTGACACCATGAAGCTTGGTAGATTGTTGTCAGTGTTCTGGAAAAACCTGCTTTAGGGTAGAATCCTCACCCTGAGGATAGAGGCAGCAGGTTCCTCTAATGGTCCCAGAAGATATTAATCTTTATAGTCATAGCCGTGAGAAGCTCAAATCTGATAATGGCATTCTTGGTTCTTTTGGGTTTTGATACTTTAGTGTTTGTTCTGTGTTGTTACTGAAAGGTGTGAGCAGATTGGTTGCCTCTTCATTTTTCTGCTGCTGATACTTTTCAATGCCATTTCTGTTCTCAGTCGCATCAGTTCTCTTTACTATCTTTGGAACAGTCAACTGTCAGTCGTCACTTAATATTTCATCTGCCATGTCTTTCCATAAACAAATGTGTGTTCTACTCACGGTTCTATTTTATATTTTCATTAAAATGTAAGGTTGTCTGTCCTAATTACTTACCACCATCTGGTGATTTTTTCCCTATTCATTGCCTCTATTGGCCAGGACTGGGCACCAGACTTCCCCCCTCTCAAATGGTTGCTAGCCTTCATGTAATGCCAAAGTTAGTGGGTGGAGCTGTACCTCCACTCCCCATACATGTTCATGGCATGGTGCTTATTTAAGCACAGAGACAGCCTTACGTTCTCACCATACAGATAACACATAACAGTTTTGAGCATTTCTTGGTTCTATATAACATATTTCATTTTACAGTACTTTCCTGGTGCATGATGGGGAGTCAAAAGCCTGAACCTGACCAGTCTAGAAAATTGTTATTTGTTGCAGATTGCACGGGAACATGGGATCAGATTCATGGAAACATCTGCCAAGGCAAATATCAATATTGATCGAGCTTTCAACGAACTGGCAGAGGCCATACTTGACAAGACAGCAGGGAAGGATCCCACTGAGGCACCAGATCGAGTGCTGGTCGAGAAACGAGTGGATCGAGGTTCGAACCGATGTTGCTAGGTGGACAGAACTGAAACAGATATAGAGAAAGACTGGGAATTCTACCTGTTATGTATATATATGTTGAGTACGTTACCCTTTGTTCTACTGAGGAATTTTCCTCTTTTGGGGGTCAATTAAGAAGATGGGAATGCTGTCCAAATGTTTTATATTCGTGGTAATTGTTACAGAAAAGGTTCCACTTATAACACTGGGTAATTCCTTTGTTTGCTGACTGGGTCTGGTAAATCCCTAATTTGCTGGGGATAACATTTAGCTCAGTCGTTGGGACTTTTGTGGAATTTCTGGCCTTTCTCATTATTTGGCCAAGGAACTAACTCATCCACCATGGTGCTAGAAAAGACATTATGTGGGATCCAATAAACACAAAGGGGCACTGATTTAAGTGACCGAGAGCTAGAATATGTGAACTCATTTACTATAGAATTTTTTTGTGAAAACGTATTTTTTTTGTGTGCGAATATGTCATTCACCATTCAGTGGCTGCAGGCTCATAATAAAGGCATTTCAACCAAGAGGGTACACTGGAGATGGCATATTTGAATGTAATCATGTGACTGTTATTTGGGCTAGAAAATCAACGAATAAGAGAACGTGTCAAGGAGTCTGTGAATGCATTGAAGTGAGTCTTCTCATGCCTGCCAGGTATCCTATGTAAACCAGTCACCCCATGATAGCTGTGGCTGCCTTTTCTAATAAATAAAACTCGGTATGCTAATTTTACAGTGAACTATGCCAAGTTACTTGGACTGTTGTAACAAGAGTGAGTATGTTCAGTGTCATACAAACTATTATATATTTTTTTGTTTGATAGTTGTACAATCTTCATATTTCACAATTGCTTTTGTTTAGTAATCATGTAATTATGAATAGAAGGTGTTATCTGAAAGAGCAACACAGGGTCGTTCAGATGTAAACCCCTCCCCCCCTCCAACAAAGGGGCGGGTAGCATCGTTCACATCGCTGCACTGCCTGCATGGTCAGTGTCATACGTTAGATTGCATCTGGGCAGCTCTGTTTGACAAAGGCTTACCTATACGTAGGATTTTTTTTAAGTATCTAATTTTTTTAGTCTAATCTCAATGGAATATATCTTATGTTAATACCAAGACCAAGATGTCAATGAATATCAAGATGTCAATGAATATGTTTATAAAATTTTCTCTGTTCTGTAGGATTTGAGGTTCTCACAGCAGTGGTTATGAAGAGTTCTGTCTTCTGGGATATAACGCTATGTAGTCTGTTGAAAGTCAACCGACGTTTTCAGAGGAACATGTGGCCTCCCATCTTCAGGGTCAAAGTATAAGCCGCCTTACTACCTGCTTCACACTGGTTTCTCGCTTGGCTGTTGTTCGACCTTGAAGATGGAGGCAACATATTCCTCTGAAATGTCCATTTGCTTTCCGTGGACTACATAGCATTGTATCATAGAGGGTAGTACCCTTTTTCTCTGTTCATGTACTTTTGTACATGGCTAAATGCTCGAAACCTGCACATTCATGACAAACTCTTCCCAAGCACAATCAAGGCTTTCGTACAAAAATGCAGATTTTGTTGTGATTTTTCTTTCCCATTGATGTATTCTTTGTTCTCAAAGCAATCGGATATTGTTGTTTTATATCGCAATAGAGAGATGTATGCAATTTCATTAAATATATAACTAATTGTGTTAATGTGTCCATATTTATGACCAAACATGTATGTCCTAGTCCCCGTGCTATCCTAGACAGTGAATTTGTCTAATGTATCTTTGAGGGTACATAATAACTTGACCAGGCAGCTAGCTGTTTGGAAGAAAAGTCCTGTGTGTTCAACGAAATTGCGAATATGACATTCTTGGTTCCCATCATACTGTGGTATGTAACCCGTTGCTAGGCAACAGCCATGAAATAAGCAATATACAATGGCCATTACCAGACAGCGGCCCACGAACAGTAAAAGAACAGTGCTTCTTACGAGGTCCATGCTGAGATGTTATAAACAGGACAAATTAGGAGCAGGCAGTTGGCCAGTTATCTGTTAGAGGACTACTGTCGTTCAGTCATTGTGAGCTGAACGTGATAATAATTGTACTTGCTGGTGTAAAAGTGAGCGCTCAATACACTTATTCGCTGAATTGAAGACCTGCATGAATTCATTTGTCGCGTTACATAGTGAACATGCGATAGTATATTGTAATTGAAAAAAAAGACTGGGAATTTGGATGGAACAGATATTTAAATATAATTTTCCAATGAACAAAGGTAACTACTGAATGAATGACTGAAGAAAACAAATGAATCTGAGCTTGCTTGTTCCAGTGTAATTTTTTATTTCATAAATTCATAATTTTAAGAGATAGAAATTGCAGAATGATTTCTCGAAAGAAAGCAGCAAAGTTAAACGAAACTGAAATTATATGATTATAAAATGATTTATGTTTATTAGATAGCTCTTGGATCATTTTAAGACAGACATTTTGCATTCATATAAACAGAATGATCGTAAAGTGATGAAGTACATTAGCATGTGGTAAGTAAACATGAAAAAGTGTGATCTGCTCGCAGTAACAGGCAACGGAAATGGCAATGCTGCAGTAGCAAGAATAAAACTGCAAGTGATGATAACACTTGATGACTTAACTTGCTTTTGCAACTTTACAACTTCTCTGTGAAATGAAGGCTGGAATTTCATCCTGAAACCTCACTGCTAACATGGTTTTGCCTTGGAGTTTACAGTGCCTGAGATTGCGCTAATATCACAAACTAACCAAGAAAGGGGGGGGGGGGAATTTAAANTTAATGCGATAGCAAATGTTGGGGTGACTGGAGAGTGTGATTAGAATGGATCAAATAGGAATAGATAAGACAATTTTTTAAAGTATACCAGAGGTAGAAGAGAAGCAGGAAGGACCAGTTTAAGATGGCTGGAAGATGCAGAGAATGATTTAAAGGAGTTCAAAGTGAATAGATGGAGGCAATATTCAAATAATACAGAAGAATGGGCATCTGTTGTAAAGGAGGCAAAGGTTGTTAGAGAATTACAAAGCCGTGAAGTAAGTAAATATGTGTGTATCAGGAGTTTTGCAATTATTTTTTGTGCATTGTTGACATAAGTGCCCACAACTAACTCCACATCAGATAGGATGGCTGTGGCTGATATTCATATACAGTTGAGCAGTATTAAAGATATTTCTCTAGTGAAACATTCTATTCATCCAGAATCTTCTGTCAGTTATGTGTACTGAACTGTACCCACTTTGAACAAGATGGAAAGATGACCTAGTCTAGTGAAGCCCCCCCCCCGCTTAAAGACCAATGATGCGACAATATGCCACTTGGTCCTGCATGATTGTGAGGCTATAGCTTACCTAAGATATAACCACCTGGGTCAATTCTTCATCGAACCAAATGACTTTTATGATGCCCCCATAAATAAAGTCCTACATTTCATTCGAAGTGTAAGACTGATAAAGGGTTAATCCAAAGGGGAAGCTCAATAGATCATTGAAGGTCGCAGTGCTAGGGCCAGTTTTTATGGCTCACCCCTAATACTCGTACTCATCGGCCTGGACCAGTCACTAGCCCCCACCTCTCCTCCAGGGGTTTCTTGGACAAAGACCTATGTACACATGAACACTTACTGATCCTACTCACTTCCGCCATGAAGCTGGAGGCAGCACGTATGCCCCAAACATCAGCTACGCTGCCTAAATCCACAAGGGGCAAAGACCTAAGAGAGAATCAGTATCATTCTGATTATTGCATTAAAGGAGGAGGAGCTAAATATGTGGTTTCAAGTGCCAGATCCAGATTCCTGAACTCTCAGCAGAGGAACGTAGCTCTCGTGTCCCTATGAGCTGTACCTTTAGGTTCAGCAAGTTCAGGATACAGTACTGACTCTTTACAGTTCAGAATGTGCCCAGCTGTATTATTCAAGAGGCGGCACTTCTGGGTCATCCACAAAATCAGTTACTGCTTCACACCGCCCCTTCCCATCTCTCGCACTGTTACACTGCTGATTGTATTGCCTTAGTTTCACAATCCTGCTGAAGTCCATGTCCTCAGATCTCCCAATTTCCAGCATCTCTCTCCTGTAACATTTCAATAGATTTTTCAGATTGTAATGTTGTATAGTGCAGTAGAACTCCACTGACAGTTTATAGGAACATATCGCCTCTGTCGGTGTCGGGACCGAAGACTAAGGAAAGCACGAAATAAGCAATAAGCAGGCATCTAGCAGATCTGTACAAAATTACATGGCATTTGAACCCAGAAAATTGTACATACCGAATTGTGTTTGAATAATTTCTGGTCTGATCATCTTTCCTTGTGGTTGGAGTATGTTTCACTGTTTTGGGTTTTACTTCACCATTCACCTGCAAAGAATCACCAATAATGTATTACATGCTGTCTCCATCTTCAGGGTTAAATTGAGTGTCATGAGGTGGTCATTTTAAATAGGTGGATGTGACAATGTGAAGTCTTGTAGGTGGTTAGCAATGTTTCAGAGGAACATGCTGCTTCCATCTTCAGGAGGGTTCAAGTGAGTGCAGTAAGGTTAGAATGCTTGTTGTGAGGATGTGGATCATCTCTTCCCCCATTCTCAATCTGAGTGAGCTCTCTTGAAATCTGCACTCACCTCAACCCCGAAAATGCGGACAGAATGTTCCTGTGAAACGTTGGTATTCACCTACAAAACTACCTTGTGTCACAACCCAGAAGACCACAATCTGGAGAAATGAAATCAAATCTTCTGTGACAGTAAGCTTTATCTAATTGGCATGGATTTCCAACAGGACATTCGGCATCTCCATCATCAGGAGCTGCAGTGCTGACAGGCACCATTATTTGTGTTTGTATTTATAAACCCAGTTTGGTTCTTACGGTCCAGTGTCCTGTGACTGGCACCTGACTCCATCCGCCATGGCCCCTCCAATGTTTTACTTCTGGGCACAGACCTGGGGCCCCAAGGAACATACTATATTTAAATTCAGCAGATGATGATGGAGATCGTCAGTTTCCAAACTGTTGTAAATCCATTTCAGCCGAACACTTCACTGCACATGAGGTTTAAATTTCTCACAGAAAGTCCTTACCTTGGGCATAGTTAGCACTAGGTGACCTGTTGTTTGTGATCTCTCAGCCCTTGATGACTCAGTGTTAATTTCCTCAGGGAACACAATTTGGAATATTTTGCCCTTGATAAGTACTTTCACATACGTTGGTTGGATGTCCACATCTAGCAGAGATGTGTCAAGGTACCTGCAGAGCATCACATTTTCAGAAGAATGCGGATGTACACAGTGTTAACACAAGACACAAACACTGTCTTCATAAACCAACTGCTAACCTCTCATGCTTTCAGAAAAGTGCATATTATGCTGGGATAAACATTTTAAATAACCTGCCATCTGATCTCAAAAGTCTTATGAATGAAAAAGCACAATTTAAAATAGCACTGAAACGATACTTAAATACACACTCATTCTACTCTGTTGATGAATACCTGTTGTCTAGAAAATAACTTATGTATCTTTAAATAGCCTTGTGAGTAGTCACTGTGTATTCCTGGTTTCTCTTGTGTGAGAACTCCATTGGGACTGTACATATGTTTTGTATTTATAAGACATATTCCACATCCTACAGTCATTTTGACTAACTTTGGATCCATGGAATGCAATGCAATGTAATGTAATGTACTTGTTACTGGCTTCAGACATGAAGACTGGGTACTAACAACATGCAGTTCACTTCACCTGTGTTTCAGAGGAACACCAGTGGACTTGTGCTTATCTACACAGTGTTACATCACAGGAAACAGTAATCTCTGAGACCCTCAGATCCTGATTCTTCATACATATTTATGTGATATGAAGTCTGATATTCTGACAGTGATGGCTATGAAGGTTACCGTCTCCTGGGTTGTAATGCTGTGTAGTCTGGTAGATCATTACCAATATTTCAGGGTAGAAGCAAAGGTAGGAGTTTCCTCCAAAACATGGGTTCTAGCAGAGGGGACAAGCTAAGAATTTGCCCCCTCCCTAGATGTTGAGGGGGGGGGAAATCAAATTTGGAAAAAGGATAAAATATGGAGAAAAAAATTTAAATGAATTTATCCCTCTATCCTGAATACAAAGGAAATTATTAAAAAATACTCTTAAACAGCTTAAATATGAGTAAGTCTGTCAGTAAATTTTCTGCTCACCCTCCCAGAAAGAACCTTGGTAGAACTTATGATCTGACAAAGTACATGGCACCACAACACAGAAGACCAATATGCAGAGATAATAGCACTTCATCTTTCGATATGGATCACACAAGTTAGGCTGGAAGGTCATTAAGCTTATCACATACTTATACACAGCAATGTCTAGAACAAGGCTGTTCAGCTTGTCGTCCTCGGTGAGGAGAAATGGTATCTTGGCCTCATTAACATTGAGAGGTTTCCCGACAGCATTGAACAGCTTGTATTCCCGTTTTGGTGGTCTAGTCGAGTCAGCACTGAGCCCCTTCTGTTTTTCCTCCTGCTGTTTAAGAACCTGTGCTGCTATATGCAGTCTTGTTTCTGGACTGTGTTCACTCACTTGAGACCAAAACCTGAACATGCAGAAGAATTCTTGTATTAATTTGAAGAATGGCTTTAGATCATACAAACCATTATCAAAAAGGTTACTTATGAAGAAAGCAGTCTTCTGGGATGTAGCACCGTGTAGATGTGGTGTTAACCGACACTTCAGAGGAATGTATCACCTTCTTCTTCAGGGTAGAAATAAAATAAGAAATCCACGAGTGAAGAGACCGTGAGGACCGGTACAAGCAGACTGGTACCGGTTCTCACGGTCTCTTCGCTTGCGGATTTCTCATTTTCCTTCTACCCTGAAGATGGAGGCGATACGTTCCTCCGAAACGTCGGTTAACACCACATCTACACGGTGCCACATCCCAGAAGACTGCTTTCTTCATAGTCACCACTGTGAAAACCTCAAATCTTACAAGGTTACTTATGTCTTTATATGTACATTCGATATTAACCCTTTCGCGCGGTGATTTAAATTCCGCTGCCGTGTCTCTCCGGCGGTAATATATTCAGCCGGCCATTTAAATTTTGCTCGAAAATGATTTATTCATCATTGTTCTTAAATTCTATAAGATAGGAACATGAAACTTTCACTAAAATGATCTTAAAAGGTGGTTTTATAACCTTGCCTTATAATATGA